ATGGACACAGACAATAGTGTGGGAAAAGGTGGGGGGGTGGGGGCGGGAGTGGGGAGGAGGGGGTCAATGGGGGGAAAAATGAGGAACATCTGTAATACATTCAACAATAAAGATTTTAGATAGATAGACAGACAGACAGACAGATAGATAGATAGATAGATCGATCGATCGATCAGTCATGGACCCAGCAGATGTGAGTCTAGTGAGGCCCACGCCCCGGCTTGCAGAGGCCTCCCTCTCTCTACTCACATGGCGTTTCCTCCACACACGCCTGTGGAGCAAGAGCTCTGGGCATCTCTCTCTTCCTGTAGGAACACTAATTCCATTCTGGGTTCCAACCTCATCTAAATCCAGTCACCCCCCACCAAAGGCCCCACCTCTAAATACCAGCACAGTGGGAGTTAGGACTTTGGCACAGGGATTTTGCGAGGACACAAACGTAACTGTGGTTAAATGAACTGTGGTGCGTTTACAGAATGAACTGCTATGAAGTTGTACAACAGAGATGGGGGTGGGGGCGGGATCGGGAGGAGGGTGTCTGGGGGGAGGAAAAATATCTGTAACAAAAATTAATTAAAACACACACACAGAAGAAGGTCTCTGTGAATGGATATGATTTCCAGAATTTACTTTTAAGTTTTGAAAAAGCAAAGTTCAAAAGACTATTTAGAGTATACTATCTATTGTAGAAGGAGGAAGAATATACATGTATCTGTAAGAAAATGTACAGTATCTACTCATTTGGGCAATAATAAACAAGCTCGATAAACTTCCAGCTGAGACTGGACACCTGTAGGCATGTCAGGAAATGAGTGGCGAAGACAGAGGAAGTCCGTGTGGATGAAAAATACTTTTCTAAACATAATTTTTGGTCGAGTCCCGACTTTTGGAACCATGCCAGTGTCTCACACACCCAAAAGGAAAGTGAGCAAAATCATCAAGGATGGAGACATTTTAATACAATGTAAAATTTAAAAACAAATGAATCAAACCACATGTCAAATAAATAACATAACCAACCACACTGAGGGGGATTGGGGAAAGAACCCAAGGAATGTCTGAGCACAGTGTTAGAACTAAATGTCATCAAACTAAAAGTCCCAAACATCACAAAACAAACACCGAACTCTAATTAGTAGGGTTCTTTTTCACAGAGGCAAAAATTAACACTTTTGAAACTACTTTGTGTATATTCTAGGGCAGAGCAAATACAAAAACATATTATGTGAACGGGAGCCAGTTTCCCTGGCGGAGAAGGGGTTGTAAATGTGAAAGAAGGATCAAATAAGCTGTGTGGTGATTGCAATTACAGGTATGATTGGGAACGCATAGGGTATAGATTATATATGGCAGATAGATCGATGATTGCTAGATGATAGATAGATAGATAGATAGATAGATAGATAGATAGATGATAGATGATAGATAGATAGATAGATAGATAGATAGATAGATAGATAGATAGATAGATGGATGTAGGGAGGGAGGAAGAGAGGGGGAAAGGAGGAGAAACATGTATTAGATCATATTAAAATGGACATACATATATGTAAGAGGTTGTGTACAGACACTCATACCACACTGCTTTCATCACAGATCACATCCTCAGCCACGAGTCTTTTTCCTAGGCTTTCTATTCCATCCCATTTGTGAATTTTTCTGTTCCTATGCCTACAAGTCCTCCTGTAAATTATCTTTCATCGTTTTGGTTTTTTTATCCTTTGATAAAAAACTAGCTTATAAATTTCCATGAAAAACCTGGTTAATAGTTTGATTTAAATTTTTTTAATGTATATGTTAATGTAAGCAAAATTGACATCTTTTGGCATATTATCCCTACGCATTTCATATTTTTTTTACTATTGTAAATAGTACTTTTGTTTCTATTTTCAATTGCTAGTCTGCAAAAATGTAATTATTATATGTTGTTATTATATCCTAAAACCATGCTAAATTCACTCATTAGTCCTAGGAGCTTTTTCTGTAGATCCCATGAGATTTTTTACATAATCAATTCATCTACAAAGATAGTTTTTTCCTTTCTCTCCAATCTGTATGACTTGTACTTTTCTTCTTACCTTGTTGCTCTGGCTAGAGGCTCCAGCACTATGTCAAATGAAAGCAGTGAATGGACACACTTGCCTTGTACCTAATCTGAGCAGGAAAGCCTTCAGTCTTTTCAACACGACGTGCAATGTTAGCTGTAGGCTATTTTGTAGATCCCCTACATGGATTTGAGAAAGTTTTCATCTGTTCCGGGTTTCAGATTCCCTATTCAATTCTCTGCTTCAATTAATCTACTGTTGATTCCCTTTAATGCATTCTTCATTTATGGCTGGTTTTTCTATGTGTCTCTAACCTTGTTGTATGCTGACTTTGTTGAAGTTCTGACTGTGCTGACCTCCTCTACCCTAAATTCCTCAGGCATTCCTTATAACCAATGCTTTTCATTCTGCATCTCATAGAAGGCTTGTCTCCCTTTTTTTCAGTTCTTTTTCTGGAGTTTTGTCTTGTTCTTATCTTTGGGACAAGTTTCGTTGTCTCCTCATTCTGGCAGCCACGCGTGTGTCTCTGTGTACCAGGCAGAGCAGCTGCGCTCCATGTGGGCAGGGTGGTCTTATGTAGTGTCCTGTGTGGTCAGTGGTGCCGACGCCCTGGCCACCTGAGCCCAGTGCTCCAGGGTTGCCCTGTGTGTAGGTTGTGTGCACCGATTGCCGTTAGCGTGTCCGTGGCTGGGACGGACACTCGGACTGACTGGCTGAGGGCTGGCCATGACCACGTGGGCTGGCCCCCAGAGCAGGACTCTTTGGTGGTGTGCTGGTGCCAGCAGAGCCCACCCTGTGTGTCATTTGCAGAGCCGGTGGGTGGTGCTCTGTTGTGGTCTGAAGCCACCCACTGTGTGTGTTGGTTCAGTAGCCTCTTGGGAGGGGTTTGGGGCAGGTCAAGGTTAACATGCTTATGCCTGGCTTGGGGCCATCTGGCAGGAGCTACAAAGTGATCTGCAGCTGGTTGCCACCTACGCTGGGCGTGGAGGTGCTCAGGAGACCCGTTCTGCAAACCAAGGCTGGCTACCACTCGTGCCGGGCTAGGACGCGTTAGCTGAGGCTAGCTGCCGTTTGTGAGAGGGTTATGACCACTTACCTGAGGCCATGTTCCAAGCCAAGTCTGGCCAGTACTTATGCCAGGCTTGGGGTTACCTGGTGCAAATTACAATGCCAGCTGATATTGATCACTGCCTGTGCGGGTCTTGGGGTAACCTAGCAAGAGGTGTGAGGAACACAGAGGCCAGCCACTGCTCGTTTAGTCTGTGGACCTTGGAGAGATTTCAGGGAAGCCCACAGCACGAGCTGAGACAGGCTGCTTGTGTGGAAAAGCTCCAGGAGCAGCCACGCCAGGCAGTGAACCGGTGGCACAGGGTCCCGGGGAGCCGCAGTAATGCAGAGCTGTCGGTACTCGCCCCGCTGGTCCACTGGGTAGGGGGAGGGCTCAACCAATGGTGCCTTCCGGCTCCTCTGTCCGAGAGCTGTCCTGATACTAGTCATTTTAGTTTCTTTCTCAGGTCCCTGGTGGCGCTCAGTGTGTTTGGGAAGAGTGTGCACGAGCCCTGAGACCTGCAGCGGGCAGGTCTGCGGCGCCCCCCCTCTCAGACGCAGTCGCCCCGCTCACCAGGTTATGGAGACTCCCCAGCACGAGTGCTCTGGGCCGGGATGCCTCATTCCTCAGTGCAGACATGCCTCCCCTTCCCAACCCCACACCGTGGGCCTGGGGCCTGCCTGCTCCACGGGAAGAGTCCAGGCCCTGGGTGAGCTCCCTCACGGCCCTGTGGCCCCTTCCCAGTCTCGGCAGCCCCCCCCCCCCAGGAGCATGTGCTCACCAGGACCCTGTGGGGGACTCGGGGTCCTGAGCGACCTCTGCAGCTCTGAGCAGCTCTCCTGTCTCGGTGCTTCCTCCTTGCAAACCCACCTGCCAGGTGTCAGGGCTGATCCGGGGGAAGGCAGGAGGGAGGGCTGGCGGGGTGGACTGTTCCCAGCACCCTTCCTCGGGCACGACAGGGCAGGCAGCGTGTTCCTCTCCGTCCGTAAGCTTCGCAGTGTCCGATTCGGTGGCCCTATGACCTGCCAGGTCCTGGGCCACAGGCAACTCCGAGGCAGGATACGTGTGAGAACCAGACCGTGCACAAAGGCCACAGCACAGCAGAGGCCGCTGCTGGGCCGGAGCAGGAGTCAGGCTCCTGGACATGGTCTCTCAACTCACTTCCAGGGAATAAATAGGAATTTGCTACATGTCAAATAGAAAACAAACCCAGACTTGGCGAGGAGAGCCCTTACTGGAGGAATTGCTTCAGGGGGTCGGGGTAGCTCCTGCAGAAGGGAGAACGCGCCGACGGTAGACTGTCTCCGGGGCCGGCAGGAACGTTCTGTGGGAGAGGGCACACTGCCCCAGGGGTGCTGGGCCCGCGAGTCTCCTCCCAACGAGCTATTCTCCGTGACCCGTGCTGTGTGCCCATCTTCTAGGGCGCAGTCCTGCCATGTCTTCTCAACACCTCCCCTTTCATACCAGGAACAAAAGAAAACAGCCCAGACACTTTTTCAGAATAAAAGAACCAGCCACCAGACTCAGGGCATTGAGCTCTATAAGAAGAGGACCCCAGCCTCCCAGAAACACCAGAGCGATAAGAGGTCACTCAGAGAAGCAGGGGCTCAGTGCACTGTGGCTTCCTCTGGGCGACGCCCTCAGGGGCCCCAGGGACCTGCATCAGAGCTCAGCAGCCCTGTCCACCCCTGTCCACCCCTGGAGCTCCCCCCCCCCCAGGGCCTGCCCGCTGCACCTCACACCATGCAGCAAGTCTCCTGGTCACCCCAGCGGTCCCTGGGAATGGGCTCCACCTCACCCCTCTGCCTGCTACAGGGGTGTACTTGATGCAGGGGGGTCATCCAGACGGGACCCAAGCCTGCGACAAGAAGCAAGGACATCGATAATGGAGTGGTTAAGAGGTCCATTTGTTTATTCAAGAGAACAGTGAGAGAAACACACCTTAAATATTACAGGTTTTTACAAACAGGTGCAACCGCTCCCCAACAAGTTTAAAGAGTGGTCTGAAAAGACCAAAAAGACAGAGTCACCCTACTGTTCTAAGGCCTGAATGAACCCACGAGGGCAGAACCAAGCTCCCCACAGGGCTACAGCCCCCGGCCCACGTGGGAGGGCGCGCTCCCGGCCGACCCTCACTTCCGGAAGCGCTTGAAGAGCGGGTGCACGTGCTTGGCGGCCGCCCTGCTCCGCGCCGAGTGGTACTCCATGTACACCGTGTCGTCCGCCCCTGACATGGAGCTCATGGTGCCCAGGCGCCGCGACACCTGTGGGGCAGCACACGGTCAGTTTCTCGGGGAAGGACGCTTTCACAGCAGTGATCACCTTTCATAGTTTTTAATCTGACAAATGTTATTATTTTTAAAATAACGTATCGACCACTTCCTATGTCTCAGGCATGCTCTAACACTCATGACCACGACAATCCCAGGTCCCAGAAGGGACACTAAAGCTGGAGAGGTCTAGCGGCTTGTCCAGGGCCATCCAGCCTGGAGAGACAGCTGGAGCGCGGGCAGCTGGGCTGCCGGTCCCGGGCCCACCGGTGCGCCCTGCCTTCTCTCCTGACAGTTTCTGAGAGTGTTTCACCAGTGAGGACGGAACCCTCAGAATCTCCTCCGGCTCCACTGAAGGCTTTGAATTAAGGGAGAGCCGGCAATCCGGGCTGGAATCCTGGCTCTACCTCTCAGGGGTGTCCTTGGCCAGACATGAATGCCTGTGCCTCAGTGAAGCCATCTGTTAAGTGGGACAACCAAGTCTGGCTGGATACACGTGCTGTGACAAAAACCACTCGAGGCCAGGGTTTGTCCCGAGTCCGGCACACCCCACGGACCAGATCACAGCGAAGCACAGACCACCACCGAGGCAGTGCCTGTAACAGCCTGAGGCAGGGACCCAGAGGAAGAAGAGCTGACAGGTCAGAGCAGGAGGCTTCCCTGGCTCCCTGCAGAGTCCAGCCCCCCACCCAGGTCTGAGGGAGAGAGGCCCGGGCCAGGGAGGCAGCACCCTGGTGAGGCACTCCCCTCTCTCCTCGGTGCAGCTCTAACTTCGTTTCCAAAGCAACAAACTGCACTGCTCTCCTGCGCAGCCTGACAGAACTCCCCACCATGGCCCGGCCGGTGCGGCTCAGGGACTGAGCGTCGTCCTGTGGACGCGGAGGTCCTGGTCGAGTCACGGAAGGGGCAAGTGACCCGGTTGCAGGCTCCATCCCTGGGGGGGCGGGGTCAATATTTCTCTCTCACATCTATGTTCCTATCTCTCTCTCTAAAAATTCAATAAAAACATATTTTTAAAAATCCCCATAATGATACTTTCATTAATTCTGCTGTATTATACCTGCGTGACACATAGCAGGCATTCAGTAAGTATTTGCAGAAAAAAAAAGTGAGAATTTTCAGAAAATTAAAATTTTTTTTCAAAATAAGCACTGAAACTACAATACAAGCCGGCCCTCATACCTGCCTTATGGGCTGGAAGGCTCAGCTCAGTGACCGAGGAGGGAACCAGATGAGGGACTTGCCCCAGCCTGTCACACGCCTTCCCCCGGCCACCCCAGTAAGAGCCTGGGGTCCTGTGCATCCCGGGTCCGCATAAGACCACTGACGAGCCCTCGCACCAGACTGGCCGTGAACGGAGCAGGGGACCAAGCACAGCCCGTGCTCAGCATGGAAACAGTCGGTGTGGCCTGGCTGGTCTGGCTCAGAGCTTAGAGCGTCGGTACGTGGACCAAAGGGCACAGGTCTGATTCCCAGGCAAGGGCACATGTCTGGGATGCGGGTTCGATCCCCGGCCCTGGCCAGAGACAGGTAAGAGGCAAACAATGTGTCTCTCTGTCTTCCACTCTCTCTAAAAATCAATGGAAACAATATCCTCGGGTGAGGATTAACAAACACAGACACCGGTGTGTACAGAAGGAACGACAAACCGACAGTTAACATGCTGTTACTGTTCTCTTCTCTGTTTTTCAAAAAGCACACAGGCACACCTCGGGAGGTGCCCGGAGCCTCGCCCACTCACCTGGCTGGATCTGGAGCCAAATTCTCCTGTCACCACCTCCTCCTCGGCGTCCAGGTCAGTGGCTGCCAGGACTTTCTGTAAGAGCTGCTGCTGGTCTTCCTTCGTGGAAAAGGCCAGGTCCTCCTCCTCCATCCCAGCCAGCTTCGTGATCACCTGCAAGGCCAACCCCAGCGATGGCGCGTTCCATGGTTCCTCGCCCTTGGTCCCACCCCACCGCGTTCTCCTGGGCTCACTGGATGGTCACCTCCCTCCCTCGGGCCCAGCGTGCAGGTGGCTGGGAGTGAAACACCTCTGGGCGGTCCAGAGACCACTCCAGGAGTCACTTCCACGGGGAGTATAATCAACGACTGCGAGACAGGAGCGGTTACGAAGCGTCCAGAGGAACTTGCTCCACAGCAGCTAACTGAGCACGCGCAGACCAGCAGGGGCTGCGCAGAGCTGAACCTACTCTGGCCGTCTGCCCATCTTGCAGCAGGCGAGGAAAGGGACCACAAACCAGAAGGCACAGCCTGCTGCCCCTTGCGCCCCAAGAAGGGCCTTCAGCTTCCTGGCTGGGATCCAGGCTTGGGCAGGAGGGAGCAACTACAATAACAGAATGCTGAGAACAGATTCACAAGATTGTTTTTCTAAAAGAGCAAGATGACAGCCTGGTGGAGATGTGGTCTTTTTCCTTTGCAGGTAACTTACTACACGGCCTGCCTACCTATCCCTGCAGAAAGACTGGATGGATCATGTACAGGGAACTGCTTTTCCTCTAACTCTTCTCCTAGTTTTAATGAAAAGAAAATGTCTGGAAGCAAGGATGTGGCCAAGCCTCCTGGTGGCCACAGATCTGGAGCATGGACATGGGACCCCTCTGCCCGAGCCTGCTGCCCCTCCAGTCATGACTCTGGGACCTCACACCCAGCTGCTCTCAGCGGCAGCATTACATGGAGGAAGACAAAGGCGCTGCAGCCAACACAGACCCTGAATGTCCGGGCCCGCCATCAGGTCCCCCTTCACCCCGAGCAGTGCTGCTCCCGCCCCAGGTCTCTCCCGCGGCCTGAGCGCTGCCACAGTGCACACGTCAGCTACACAGCAAGGGCACCTCCAGGGCTGTCCCGAGTCCTGTCCTCCAGCCCAGCATGAGCTGCCTGGAAGGGCCCCGCCTCTGGCTGGGCGAGGAGTGTCGCACGGCCTACCCGCAGGTCTGAGGCCAACAGCAGGCACTCTGCCGACTCAGGCTCGGTGCAGTGCCTGTGTGAGCCTGCGGTCTCTCCAGTCGAGAACTGGGAACTGCCTGCTCCCAGCACCTTCCATTCAACCCCCTCTGGGACACTAACTCTGGATATAACTTACTGTCTGTACGAAAGAAAGGAAATGCCTCAGCAAATGAAAGCCAAAGCTTTAGAATTTCCCGAGCCGTTCCAATCCCTCACTTGTAGCATCCAGAAGGCTCGTGTCTGTGAGGCCAGAGGCCCAGACCCACCAGCCGACATGGGAAGAGCCATCTGGAGGGGTGCCCCTTAAGAAAGGAGCTCTGGGGACTCAAACTAACACACTGAGGGCCAATTTCCTGACACCTCAAGTCCTGTCAGCCTTGTACATCTTCCCACCGACATCTAACGTCCTTTGCACACGACAACTGCAGAATGTCGACAAGCAAAGACTCCAGCCTCCTGCTGCAGGGCTCTCTACTCTGACCGTTGCTGTGGGAAGCTGGGGGCAGCATTGCCCCTCAGCCCCTGCAATCCCTGAGACACAGGGAGTCTGCCCGAGCCCCAGCTCCCAGAGCTCTGTGCCTGCCTGAGCTTGTCCCTTGCTGGTACTGAGCATGGCCCCACTTCTCCCGGAGGCCCGAGGACAAGTGAAGCTGTGGCCCCACTTTGGCCAGAGACCAGATGGAAACGTACCTTGAAGCTATAACCCTGATCTACCAGGAACCTCTGCCGCTTGGTGGAATACGCCATTTCCTGCGTGTCCTGGGAGACGAGCGAGTAGAAGAAGGCGTTGTACTCCTCTGCAGCCATGCCTGGGGAGGCGGGCAGAGCCGTGAGTGCAGGGGCAGAGGCTCAGGCCCGGCAGCAAACGTGGCAGTGGCAGGGCTTTGCGGTCGGGGTGGCCGCCCTGATTTTGCTGGGACATCATTAACATTAAAAACTTCAAAGAACACCATCAAAAAATTGAAAAAACCCACAGAATGGGAGAAAATATTTACAAACCATGTATCTGATAAAGGAGTCGGATCTAGTAAAGAACTGTTACAGCTCAATAATGAAAAGACAACCCAATTGCAAAAACAGTCAAAGATCGGTACAGACATTTCTCTAAAAGGATATATGAATAGCCAACACGTATTTTTTTTTTTCCTTTATTGACTTTAGAGAGAGAGGGAGTGACAGGGGGAGAGAGATAGAAACATCGATAAGAACATCAACTAGCTGCTTCCTGCATGCCCCCCACGGGGGGTCAGGCCCACAACCTGGGCATGTGCCCTGACTGGGAATCGAACCAGTGACCTCTTGGTGCAGGGTCAACGCTCAACCACTGAGCCACACCAGCCAGACCCAACACGCATTTAAAAAGATGCTCAACATCATTAATCAGGGAAATGCAAATCAAAACCATAAGGATACACTATCTGGCACACGACTAGTACAACTAAAATTTTAAAAAGATAATTAGAGTGGTTGTCAAGGATGTTGAAGCTATGAACCTCATTCACTGCTAGTAAGAACAGGTACCACCGCCGTCTGGCAGTTTATTAAACTGTTAAACATAAGCAGCCCAGTGTCCATCAGTAGATGAGTGGATAAAAAAGCGGTGGTACATATACACAATGGAGCACTATGCAGCTGTAAGAAAGAAAGATCTCCTATCCTTTGAGACAACATGGAGGAACCTGGAGAGTATTATTCTAAGCGAAACAGGCCAATTGGAGAAAGACAAATACCACATGATCTCACTTATTTGTGGAATATAATGAACTAAACAAACTGATGAACAAAATTGACCCAGAGTCATAGAAGTAGGGTACAGATTGACAATCCTTGGGGGATGGGGAGGGATAAAGCACAGAACTTACATGCATGTATGCATGACCAATGGACATACACAACAAAGCTGAGGATGGAGTGTGCGGGAGATGGGGAGGAGGGTGTCAATGGGGGAAAAAAGAGAAACATCTCTAACAAAAACATTTAATAAAAATATTTTTTTTTTAAATTTCATAGTAGCATATTCTAAGAGCCAAAAAGTAGAAACAATCCAAAGTTCTATTTATCAGATTTAGCAAATGAATGGATAAATAAAATGTGGTATGTCAAAAAAGTAGTATGTCCATACAACGGAATATTATTCAGCAATACACAATGAAGTTTGAAAAACATTATGCTGAATGAGAGAAGGCAGTCACAGAAGGCCCAGATTACATGACCCACATGTAAGAAAGGTCCAGAACAGACACATGTATAGACAAAGGAGACCAGAGGGGCCTGGAGTAGCGGGGAAGTAGGGGAAATGAGGAATCACTGCTAACAAGTAAGGATTTCTTCTGGGGGTGATAAGAATATTCTAAATATAGACTGTAGCAATAATCATTCAACTTTGTGAATATACGAAAACCACTGAACTGTACCCTTGAAACAAACCAACCACGTGTATGTGAAACAGACCCCGACAAAGCTGCTAGAAACAGCTCAGCGAGAAAACCCAGAGCAGGAGAACAGCACAGCCACGAACACTAACAACACTGTCTGTGAGCCTGGCCTTTCAGGAACTGAACTGCATGCTTCCCAGTGCAAAGGTCAGGAGCTAGGTGTCTGTGCCCTGCTCTGAATTCAACTATAGGGGGCAAATTTCTGTATCAAATAGCTTTTTCCCTCTCAGTTTCACTAAGACAAAATGGACATGCAGACTGTGTAGGTTCAAGGAACACAGCGTGATCTGACTGACAGATATTGTGAAATAATTACCAAAATAAATTTAGTTAACACCCATCACTTTATACTGATGAAAAGATGTTTTCTCGGGATAACTTTTAGGATTCACCCTTATCAGTGCTCAAATATACCGTACAGCAGTGTTACCTATGTCAAACTGAAAACAAAAGGCCAGCCAGCGCGTGTGGCTCAGTCAGCTGGAGCACTGCATTGCTGTTTAGTTTTGTTTTGTTTTGTTTTACAACTAAACACTATATATACATAAAATCACATTCTTGTATTCTCTCTCTCTCTTTTTTTTTTTTTTTGTTAATCCTCACTAGAGGATATTTTTCCATTGATTTTTAGATAGAGTGGAAGGGAGGGAGGGAGGAGGGAAGGGGAGAGAGAGAAAAACATTGGTGTGAGAGATACGCATTAACTGGTTGCCTCCTACACAACCCTGATTGGGCAACCTGCAAGCCAGGTACGTGTCCTTGACTGGGAATCAATCCTGAGACCCTTCATTCCAAGAGCCAATGCTTTAACCGCTGAGCCAAACCAGCCAGAGCTATATCACATTCTCTCTTTTATTAAAAATATGTCTTTATGGATTTAAGAGTGACAGGAAGGGAGAGAGAAAGAAACAGAAGAGAGAGAACATCAACTGGCTGCCACCTGCATGCCCCCAACTGGGGACTGGGCCCAAAACCTGGGCATGTGCCCTGACTGGGAACTGAACTGGTACCTCTTGGTGCATGAGACGATGCTCAACCACTGAGCCACAGAGGCCAGGCATCACATTCTCTTTACACATTTACCTGTCAGGGCATTTAGACTATTACCATGTCTTGGCTATCACAACTAATGCTGCAGTTAACATGGGGTACAGCTTTCTTACCTACTGATACCATCTGTCAGACACACACCCAGAAGTGCAGCTGCTGGATGACATGGTAGTCCTACCTTTAATTTTCTGAGGAATCTTCATACTGTCTTGCATAGTGGCTGCACTAATTTACAATCCCACCAACAGCAGGCACAAGGGCTATCCTTCTGCTCTGGTTACCTCCTGTTTTCTATGACAGCCATTCTGACAGGCATTGTGGTTTAGATCTGCACTGCTCTGCTGATTAGTCTTGCTGAGCGTCCTTTCATGCACCTGTTGGCCATCTGTGTATCTTCTTTGGGAAGATGTCTACTGAAGTCGGCCCATTCTCTAATGGCATCTGGAATTTTTTTCTATTGAGTTGTATAAGGTCTTCATATTAACCTTTATGAGATACACGATTTGCAAATATTTTCTCTAATACCACAAATTGCCTTTTCATTTTGCTGATCATTTCTTTTATTGTGCAGACGCTTTTTTTGTTTGACGTTAATTCCAACTTGTTTATATTGTGTTTGTTGCATTAGGTGTCATATCCAAAAATCATGCCAGGACCCATGTCAAAGAGCTTTTTCCCTCTAGGAGTTTTATGTTATCTGATCTTACATTTAAGCTTTTAATCCATTACAAATTTTTTGTTTTTTGAATTCCTCACCTGAGGATATTTTTCTACTTATTATCAGATAGAGTGGGAGAGAGGGAGAGAGAGACAGAGAGAAACATTGATGTGATAAAGCCACATTGACTGATTGCCTCCCATACGACCCGACCAAGACCAGGGATGAACCGTAACTGAGGTACGTACCCTTGACCAGAATCGAACCCACGACTCATTGATCTGCAGGTTGATGCTCTAACCACTGATCAAACCAGCCAGGGCTTTTTTACTTTATTGATTTTAGAAAGACAGAAAGGGAGAGGGAGAGAGAGAAACATCGATGAGAGAGAACATCGACTGGCTGCCTCCTGCATGCCCCCCATTGGGGATTGGGCCCACAACCTGGGCATGTGCCCTGAATAGGAATCGAACCCGGTGACCTCTTGGTGCATGGACTGACACTCAGCCACGAAGCCACAGCAGCTGGGCTCAAGTTAATTTTACAAGTGGTATAAGAATGGGGTCTAGTTTCATTCTTTTCCATATGAATATGCAATTTTCCCAGCACCATTTATTGAAGAAACTATCTTCTGTCTATGGGGTACTCTTGGCTCCCCTGTCAAATATCAGTTGACCGTATATGCTTGGGTTTCCTTCAGGCTCTTGATTCTGTAACATTGGTCTGTGTGTCTGTTTTTATGCCAGTACCACACTCTTTTGATTACTATAGCTTTATAATGTAATTTGAAATCACAAAGTGTGATGCCTCCCACTTTGTTCTTTCTCAGGATTGTTCTGGCTATTTGTGGTCTTTTGTGGTTCCAAGTAAATTATAAGATTATTTTTTCTACTTTTGTAAAAAATAACATTAGAGTCTTCATAAATACTGCCTTGAATCTATAGATGGCTTTGGGTAGTATGGACATTTTAACAACATTAAGTCTTCTAATCCATGTACATAGGATAGCTTTCCATTTACTTGTGTTCCAGTTCTTTCGTTGGTGTCTTGTAGTTTTTAGTGAAGAGATCTTTTCACCTCCTTGGTTAAATTTATTCCCAAGTATTTTATTATTTCTGATGCTACTGTAAATGGGATAATTTTCTTTATTTCTCTTTCAGATAATTGATTGTTAGTGTATAGAAACACTACTCACTTTTGTATATTAACATTTTAATAAACTGTAACTTTATTGAATTCATTGATCGGATCTAACAGTTTTTTTGGTGGAGTCTTTATGATTTTCTATATTTAAAATCATGTTATCTGTAAATACAGTTTTACTTCTTCCTTTCCAATTATGATGCCTTTTATTTATTTTTTTCTTGCCTGATTGCTTTGGATAGGACTTCCAGTACTATGCTGAATAAAAGTGACACAAGTGGGCATCCCTGAATCATTTCTTATCTTAGAGGAAAAGCTTTCAACCTTTCACCATCACTAGTTTGCTAACATTCAGTTTGCTAGCATTTTAATGAGAATTTTTATACCTAGGCTCATCAAGGATATTGGTCTGTAATTTTCTTTTCTGTAGTGTCCTTTTCTGGCTTTGGTATCAGGGTAATACTGGCCTTGGAAAATAAGTCAAATGATATTTTATAAAAACAAAATTCTAAATCAAATTCAAAGGGGTTTTCAAATTACAATTGTTTCTTTTTTGTGGTGAAGAGTAAGGAATATAATGAATTACTTTCACATACGCTAGTCAGATTATATGCTTATCAGTTTATAAAAGCTACAATTTATCTAGCAGCCTACGTTACTGTTGTATAAGTCTCGTTCCTCATAACAGTCCTGCAAGACAGAAGACAGAACTGTCACTCCTACTTTAGATGGGAAATCAAGGTTCAGAGGGCCAAATTACTTGCCCAAGGTCACACAGTTAGGTGCCCAAGTCCATACTCGCTATTTCTAACTTGCCCTGTTTTCCGCTTTAAACACAGTATTTAGTTGCTTCTCAAACACATTCAAATACAGCACAATCCCAATATGTGCCCACTAATTTTGTCATTTTCAAACATCCTACCAGTCCAGATGCCTCCTAAATAAGTGAATTCCTTGAGCACAGGGCCTGTGTCCTTGTCTTAGGACCTGCCTGGCCCCAGGAGGATGCCATCTCTGAGCAGCAATGTTAGTCCCTGCTATGCCTGCAGTTGAAGTCTAAGCCCTTCTGCCAGTTCATAAGCAGGGAACCCAGCCTGTTGCTGCCTCATTCACTGTCTTCCGCCACCCTTGGTGCAAGCTGCCAGTCACAGATGAGGGGGGTGTCCACCTGTGCTGCTCCCAGGCCCTCCCCTGACTCCCAACTTGAGATTCAAGAGACAACTTCCAGCTCTTACATTTCCACTGGTGGCCCCGTTCTACTTTCTCCCTTCTACGTCTACATCATTAAGCACTGCTATCCGGCTCCTCTTCCTATCTACCAATGTGAGAGCTCAATTTGGAGGGTATCTGTATGAGTTCCAGGCAGGTGTCACAGACGACACCCACGTACTCACCCCCAACACATGACAAATGACAAGAACCAAGGAAACCATGGTCCTCGCTTCAGGACTCCTGTCCTCAGAGCACGCCCATCCCAGGAGCACAAGCTCAGCATCAGACACACAGACAGCTTGCTCCACCCTTCTCCTATTCAAGATGGTAGAGGAGAGCCCTCCCAGAGCAGAAGGGGAAGATCACCTTTACCTTTCTTGGCCCGGAGCACGCGCCCCAGTCTCTGGGCCTCCTGCCGCCGGGAGCCACCATGAGATGAGATCTGAATGAGAACATTTGCTTCTGGCAGATCAAACGATGTGTCACCCACCTACAGAAATGAAGCAGCCGTGTGTCTGGGAAGGTTGTTATGAATGAGACAAAAAGAGAAAAAAATCAACTGGTCTTAAATTCAAATAAGCTCTGCAGATAATTTAGAAAAACAATCACTGCCCTGGCCGGTTTGGCTCAGCAGTCAAGAGTGTCGGCCTGCGGTCCAGAGAGACCCGGGTTTGGTTCCCGCTAAGGGCATGTACCTCAGTTGCAGTTTGTCCCCGGCCCTGGTTGGGTCATGCGGGGGGAAGCCACTCGATGTGTCCCTTTCACGTAGATGTTTCTCTCTCTCTCTTTCTCTCTCTCCTTCCCACTCTATCTGAACAAAAAATGGAAAAATGTCCTCGGGTGAGGATTTAAAAAAAAAAATCACTATATTCTTCTCTCTGCACCAAGGTCCTTCGGGTGCAGGCAGCCTCCAGATCCTAGTGTGAGTTCTCCATGGGACCCGCAGTCACCACCATCTGCCTCAGCCAGATACCCAGTGGGGCTGCTGGGGGCCCAAAGACAAGAGGGCCCTAGCAACAGGGACTTTCTGTGAGTGATTCTTCTTATTTTTGCTAAAGAAGTAGGTCTGCATAAAACTACCCACTCCTAGAGGGAGGCCACTGAGACCAGCAGCACATGCCTGACACGTGTCCTGGTGGGTGCCACTGCCCTCATGTGGCTGGATTCTGACTCAGGGTAGCTGCCTCGGTTTGGGGCTCCAACCACCTAGATTCCCCCCCAGCCATCAAAGATTGGTACTTACAGCCCAGCCATGACCACTTTTTAGGTAAACCTCATTTCTTTTGGGCTCTGGGTCTATTCCAGTCTGAGTGACTGTTCTAACAGTGGGGCCACAGCTTCAACGGCAACTGGAACAGCCCCAAGCCAGGCCTATACAAGCCTGCTCTGAGCTTACATCCACCACCCACCACCCAGGCACACCAGGAGCCAGGGTGCAGGCTGCTCATGCCCGCAGGGACCTCCAACAACAGAGAGAATCTCATTCAAATGCCCACTGTCTGACAAAGGAGATGATGTACAATTTAAAACCCCTGCATCCCAAAAAGAGGTGGCAACAACTACAGTCAAGCAGAAGGACCTCGCAGATTGTGCACATACAGGGAGCCTACATCTGCACTCTCACTCCCCAGACGCTGAGAATGAAAAATGACACCCGATGTCCCATCAACAAACACCAACCCACCGCCCAAAGACCATCAGTGTCCCCCAGGCCTGGGGGCTGCTGGGACCTCACCACCATCCTGCACGTCACACCGACCTTGGAGATGAAGATGGTGTTGATTTTGGGGTTGTGCTTGAAATTCTGCAGAATCTGCATTCTTTCTCCTTGGGATGTCGGGCCATAGATGTAGGGTCTAGAGAAGAATAAGGCTGTATCAGGAAGCCCACAGACCCACTCAGCACCCTGAAGCACACTGCGAGGGGCCGGAGCTCCTGCACAGCACTCTCTCCCAGGAAGCCCCGATGCAAGAACATCAGGAGGAAACCCATAAGCATGAGTGGTGACATACCCTCCCCGCCTTCCAACACACACCCTCGTCCCTGCACCAGGAGCTGACGTGTAAGGTCACCATTCTCCTTGAGATTCCCTCCTTTACTTTCTTCTTTGTTAGGGTCTCCTGCTCTAAGCTTGGTGTCTACACAAAGAGAATCCGCTGGGCTTCATGAAACTCAATGCGGGTGGCAAAGGAAACGCTGCCATTTGCAAACCAAAGTTTGGAAATAACTCTTTCCCGATGACAGACATTCTCCAAGAAATGGGTAGAAAGGAGCAAATAGCCCCTTCCAAACTTCCCCTGCTGACCTCCTACACCACTAAGTTCAGAGCCTTTGTTTTTCATTCCCAGCTCTCAGCCAAAGGGCACAACTCTGTCTGATGGCCTCGCAGGTCCATCACCTTCAGCACCTGGCAACGCCATCTCTTTGCCATCCATGGAATGGCCCAGTTTCTGTAGCTTTCCAGAGGTCAGTGATAAACTGTGATGACAATGATGATGATGACAAGACAACTACCAGATACATGTGTCCCACCCACACCAAACACCAAGCTGGACACCATGTTGACAACACCCACCACCCCTGCCAAGTCCTCAGAACTGTCAGACAGGTTTACACACGAGGAACTGACCTGTGGGATCTGGGAGGCTGAGCCCAGGTGTAAACATCCTGCCACCCAGGCTGTCAGCCATCCTGGGCAGTGCCCTGAAGGGCTCAGGCCGCGCCATTCTGGATCCTCCACATACTCCCCAGCCCTGTGCGCACACTGGCGATGGGTGACCTGGGACAGCAGACCCTTGCCATGGGGGGCCAGGCGGGGCCTGGGACAGCAGACCTTTGTCATGGGGAACCGGGCGGGGCCTGGGACAGCAGACCCTTGCTGTGGGGGGCCGGGTGGGGCCTGGGACAGCAGACCTTTGCTGTGGGGGGCTGGGCGGGGCCTGGGACAGGCGGACACCTAGATCAATGGCCTCCGGTCACCCAAACCCAGCAAGCCTGTCATACAAGTGTTCAGGGCACCGCACACATCTCATTTTCCTGGGTGTGTCATGCTGTGAAAAAGCCAGGAGACTCCACTCTTCAGAACAGCCTGTGTCTCGATCCCCAGGTTCAATGTGGTTCCTTCCCCCACCACAGGAGACGACTGCACGCTGGTGAGCCTCAGGGTCTGGAGATCTCCACACACAGGGAAGAGACCGAAAGTCACCTTTAGGAGAGCCTAGTGTTTGTTGAGCACCTACTAGATGCCAGGCGCGGGGTTCTCTGGGGCGGATGGTGACAAGCCCACACGGCAGAGCAAGAGGAGGCTGAGAAGTGACCACACTTCCGAAGGCACACAGCCAGCCAGACAGGTTGCGGGGAGTCAGAGATCAGACCCAGAGCTGACGTCTTTCCCAGGACCTCACATAACCCAGCAGTCTCTCCTGTCAAGTCCCTCGGTGACCCCTGTTCATTCCTTTCCAACTGAGGCTGGGATGAACAGAAGTTCAGAGACCCCAGCCCCCCACCAGTCCTAAGCTGCGGAATCAAGCACATGCCCAGGATTCACAGGATCATTTTACAGCAAGAAAACAAGACAAAGAAAAGCACGTTATACGTGTAAAGGCCAGAGGTACACAAGGAAATATAACTAAACATTGTAATCATCTTTCCAGTACCCATTAGAGAGCCGTGATCTGCTGCCCTCCACAGTGCCAGGCAGGCTCGGATTGGACAGTGCCAGGCAGGCTCGGATTGGACAGTGCCAGGCAGGCTCGGATTGGACAGTGCCAGGCATACCCTCAAGAGGCTACAGCCATGGACCAGCCTCAGTGTATTCGAAGGCAGGTGTGGGGCAGGATACCTGAAGGCTCCAGGAAGAACCCAGGCGGAGCACTGAACTGGGGGGGAAGCAGATAGCTGCTCCACATGACACAGTGGACATCTGCCCTGTCCCGCTGCCACTCCCGGGACCGCAAAGGACGAAAGACAGACGCTGCCAAGGCAGAGACCAGGAGAAGGAGAGATGGCAGAGCAGAGTGTGAACAGCATCGTGGAAGTGGACATACAGACAGAGCAGGTGTGGTCCTGAGACACTAACAGGAAGCAGGTGTGCAGCCAGCAGGAGGAAAAGCAGTACAAACAAGCCCCTCTTCTACGCAGACACAGCAACATCCAGAACTGGTCGCCAGCTGCCTCGGAAGGAGGGTAGTGGGGCAGGATGGCCAACAGAAGGACTGGCATTGCGTCTGTACGAAGAGCAGTATGAGGCCCCAGTCCCAGCAGCTAGGTGCCTCCTCCCACCTGACAGAAAACCTGGAGGCTTACCAGGAGGCTCTGCGTTTGGGGGCCTCCAGCAGGGCAAAGGCGAGATGAGAGCAAAGGTGAAGGGAATCCTCCCTCTCTCCCAAACCACGCTGGTGGCCAGGAGGCCAGGAGACTTCTCTCTGGATAGACTGCCCCTAGAGATACTGGCATTCTGCAATCTCTTGACAATCACCAGGTTCCTACCCGTTCAAGCCTCAGTGAGGTCCACAGGTTGGCAAACCCACTAAGCCATACAGAAAGGCTTTCTAGTGACTGATTCTTAAACAGGAAAACACAACCAAAGATTACCAACAATCAGAAGGGCTCTGGAGACAGAGGTGAAACAATCAAAACATTAAAATGTGAAGGAAAGAGAGAAGTGCAGGGACAGAAGAAAACGTAGCAGCTGTAACAGCCCCAGCGAAGGTACTGTACACGTGAAACAAGACACCGAACTTGTGAAACAAGACACTATACGCGTGAAACAAGACACTGTACACATAAAACAAGAACAGCTAGCAATAAAGAACTCTTACAAATGAACAAACTTTTTAAAAAAGAATTGGCAGATAAAGGAAGAAAAAATAGGAAATAAAAGGTAAGAAAACTGAAGCAGTTGTTAAAAAACTCTAACATCTTACCAGCAGGGATTAAAGAAAAGACAAAATAGAAAAAATAGAGAAGATGAATTAACAAAGAAAATCCAGAAATACTCAAAACTGAAACATGAGTTTCCATGCTAAGAGGGTCCGACGAGTGCCCACACAGTGAAAGAAAATGACCACAGCAGACCCACAAGCTCCCCCGAGGAGGACACAGGTGACAACAGGTCTCATACAGAGAGGAACAGAAGGGCACCAGACCTCCCAGCAGCCGCACTGGGAGCCCCAACAAAACAGAGCCCTACCATCAACACTCTGAGGCCCCATCTAACTACTCATCAAGTGTAAAGCTGAAAAACTACATTTGCAAGAAAATGTCCTTCCCACATACTGTCTCTCAGGATCCACTGGAGGATGTGCTCCTTCAAAGGAGTGAGCAAGAGGAGACCTGAGATACAGAAGCAGGGGCTCCACACACGGAGACAGAAACCGACAGGATGATGTTGAGGGAAGCCCACCAATGACAGCCGAGTAGCCTCTCTCGTCCTACAGATGACGAGCTGGGAGGAACCCCACCAGGGAAAGAAATCTAAACAAGAAACAATGTGTCTGACTCTCCTGAGAAGGAGTTTATGGTTGCAGGAAGGGTTTGACGAGGAGTAATAAAATGTATTAAAAAAAAAAAATCAAAAGCAATGACAAAGCAATTACTAACTTCAGAAAAAAAAAATGTAATCATACCACACTATATGCCTGGCTTGAACAACACATATACAGCCAAAACAATGTAATACGGAATGCTGACTTAAGCCCAAAAATACTGGGAGGATGGGGGGTGGGAGGGCCATGTATGCAAGAGAGTTCAATCCTCAACTCCCACAGCAGGAAGTTAACAGGCAACTGCTGTAGTGAATACTCCAGAAATCGCCATATAAATCAGAACTGTGAAGGTAAATAGAGAAAACAGTTCAAAGTGGCCACCTTTGGGGAACAGGAATTGTGGGTGGGAAGACAGATATAGGAACTGTATTTTCTCATAACAATCTGTTACTCTGATAAAAAAAAAGAAAATATTTTCTAAATTTAAAAAAGGCACTTTTAGAAATTTTAGAAGCAATCTTTCTGCGCCTCAGCTTGGCCACCTGCAATCTGAACAATGCAAGGCCATGCGTTCTGCGGTGAGGACTCCATCGCAGCTGCTGAGGAGCCGCTCTGCACGCTCTGCACGCTCCCCACCCTCCCCACCCTCCCCACCCTCACAGAAGAATGAAGCCCAGTCTGCAGGAAGGGCTTCCCTTCTCCACCGCCAAGCCCCTGAAGGCCTGCGTCACTACAGAAGGGCAGTCCTCTTCCTCCTTATTCGGCAGGGAATTTACAATAGCCAGGCTTAAACACAGGCATCTGGGTGGGGCGGTGGGCTGGTGAGGACTCTGGTGTTTCCCAAGAAGCTCTTTCTTGGTGGCAGGCCATACCTGAGATGCTGGCCCAGTCCGCTTTGCTCTCCTGGTCCCTGGTTCACGGTCTGACCTCATCATCACCCAGAGAACAGCCTGAAACTCCTGATGCCACTGATGCCCACCTCTGGAGCCCAGGACCAAGGCAGCAGGCGGCTAACCCCTGCTCCCTGGCTCAGGTTCGCCACGCTGCCTTTCTATGCACATTAACATCTGACTCTAACCACCTGCTCCTCTGTCTTGCCTGGTTCCTGGGGCCACCAAACCAGACTTTTGGATCCAATTAGTTCCTGAAATTTCAAAGAAAAGCAGGCACCTCTGCACTCAGAAAGGGTCAATAAACTGGCTTAAGAGGCAATTTCAACTCTTCAATTCTTACTTGTTCAGCCGAACGGCATATTCCTTCAGGGCAAACACATTGTCAGCAAAGACAATGATTTTGTCATTCCTCCTCTCGTGAAACTTGATGAGAAACTGGCAAGCTCTGAATTTGTTGGGGTTCATGGTGTACAGCAAGATCCGCTTCTTGGTTCTGATGGCCACATACTCCCTGTAAAACTCAGGGGACATCGGGCACCAAACCTGTAGTACAATAAGAATCGGGGTCAGTGTGCAAGTTCAACCATCACAACCGGAAACGTCTGAGGGTCATTCACATAGAAGAATTAACTTTAAAACAAAACCAACATGTATGTGGATTATATCTCAATGTAACTGTAAACACACACACACAGACACACATCATGTTGAACCAGGACACTATCACACGTTCACCACTTCACAGAGGTTTCTGAACACACTGACATCCAGGGACCTACTTTCACGCCAGCTCCAAGCGAAGGCCAGCCAACTGCCCAGCAGTGGCAGAGGCGAGCGACCCCTCCCACCTGGACCACGCCTGCACACGTCCACAGCGCTGCGGGGCTGCACACCCCAGCTGCCTGCAGGGTAAGCCAGCATGATGCCCAGTGGCAATGAGCACACCTGGCACTCGGAACTTGTCTGTGCAGCCTCTGCTGGAAGGCCCTGGGAATGGCTGACTCCAGGGGAGGGCGGGGCGAGTGCCAGCTGAGGCAGGTCATGTGCTGAGCCAGCAGGCAAGGAAATGCTTGAACAAGGACAGGAATGTCACCACCACAGAAGCAAGCTGGAAGGTGGTCCCACTGGTCACATCCAAGACAATCTGAACACCCAAAGGAGAATGACAGCAACACCAGGGATAACATCCTCTGTGTCAGGCCCTGTGCCTGGGCTGCCGACAGGCGAAAGGAAGTGCAGGCTCACACGCAACGTGCCAAAGTGTCACAGGTGTCGAGGCTGCACACGCATGAGTCGACCCCTGGGAGCTTGCACTGGAACAGGCTGCACAGGCTGCACCCACAGGCTGACGTCCTGGTGCCACCAGCACACTCTGCGTGGGCGTTGCCAGCCACTTCTCCTTCTTTTTAAAATAAATTATTTATTTATTTTTAATCCTCACCCAAGGATATTTTTCCATTTATCTTCAGACAAAGTGGGAAGGGGAGGGGGAGAGAGAGAGACATCGACTGGTCAGGGACCGAGGCACGTGCCCTTGATGGGAATCAAACCTGAGACCCTCTGGTCCGCGGGCGGATGCTCTGACCGCTGAGCCACCTGGCCCAGGCTCAGTGCCACTTCATGCCGCCACCACTGAAGAATCAGCTGCCACCTCCACACGCCAAGCCCCGTACCCAGCTCAGAGCCCTAAGTGCTGCATCACTGTTTCTGGCCCCTCTGAGTCACACCCTGTCACGATTCCATTGGTTTCCAGCTCTTTACAGCCACACAATTCTTTCTGCACAGTAAAATATTTAAAACCCTGCATTTCACAGAATACGAAACACAAGTGGCCAATGAATACGTGAAAAGACGCTCAATGTCATTATAAATGCAGAAAACACCAATTAAAACCAGCTTGCACCAGCGGGGCCACAGGACTGAGAGGAACAGGTGAGGCGGAACCCTGAAGGGGGCGGAGCCCCGAAGGGGGTGTGGACAGCCCCCTCCCCCCAGGGTGCTCTCTGACCAGTCTGCGTCCCAGGACCGGACGGCCCCCCAGAGCCTCCGCCCAGTGCTCCCTCCAGGCGAATGTCCAGAGCGTGGCCCCCAGTTCAGTCCACAGCACAAGCCAACGTCCACACACATGAGGAAATAACACACATCCTAAGACACAGTGTGGCCCCAGCTAGTTCGGCTCAACAGTTAGATCAGGTTAGATCAAGGCCACAGGTGCCTTCTGGGGGGATGGAGGTGGCCTGGATGACTGACCATACAGGGCCACCCCAGAAAGGAGGAGGAGAGTGGACTCCAGAATGGAGCCAGCCTGGACCAGCCTCACTCACCACGAACCGTGCGCCCCAGGACAGTGGCTTCGTTCCACACAGCGTGAAATGGCAGAACAGCGCCACCTCACAGGGGACTGGGACCGCAGGAGGTGGGAGCACTTCTGCTCAGGCCCCGCTCTGTGTGCCTGCCTGCGAGGACCGACCTGCTCCATCACCCTTGAACCATGGGGACTGCACGAGGGGCGCCTACCTCAGCACACTGGACTTTGGCGATGTAGCCATTGTTCTGCAGCTCCATCCAGTTGGCTTCATAGAGCTTGGGCCCGATCAGAAAATTCAAGTCGACAATTTTGTCGTCTTCCCGGACGAGGGTGGCGGTCAGCCCCAGCTTGCAGTGGGCCTGCACGATGGTGAGCACCCGTCGGAACATCCTGGCTGGGAACAATCGGAGATTCACACACACTGGCGACTTCACACTGGCCTGCGACACTATGTGGGCTGACCCTGGGTTTCCACATCATAGGAACCTGGCCCTGGACAAGAGTGACCACGCGGGGCCCTTCACCGTCACTGCCAGCGCTTCGAAAGAAGTCTGAGCAGGAGCACGAGGGAGAAGCCCCTGTGGGAAGGTCCCTGTGAGCAAGTCCAGCACCCTCCACGCAGCTGGGGGAGCGCCAGCAGGATGTGAGACAGGAGCTGCGGCACCTACACACCATGAGCTCTGAGCTATCCAAACGGCTGCCACCCTGACATGTGCACTGAGGGCACCAGGAAGACCCTGGGCACCTGGGAGTCAGAGGAATGACAGGAGCCAGTCTGCTGGGCTCCCTCATCTTCCCAGAAACCAGGAGCAAATGGGGAAGATGGACTCCGGGACCCCAACCAGCCTCAGGAAACTCCCCTCTCCTCACCCCTCCAATGAGCTGGTGACACAGCCACTTGTTGACTTCCTTTCTTTTGAAAGTTGTCATTTTTTCTGATTTACCAAATTAAATAAAATATACACATAAAAAAGCATGAGGTATTTATTTTTAGAGACGCAGTTTATGGGTTTCTACTAGTTGATCCCTGAACAACACAAGTCTCATTGAGTGGGTCCAGAGCGTCAGCTGTGCCTTCTGTCTCTGGTGGGGATCCCACGCATGCAGGACACAGTGAAGCTGGACACAGTTTGAATTCACAGGGACTGACACCTCTAGCCCTGGAGTTGTTCAAGGGCACTCTGAAGGAAAGTTAAAATGCTCAAGTTACAACAATTAGAGGTAAAGTTGTTTAACAATCTGAGGAACGAGAGATCAGACCACACTAAAACAAAAACTGAACCCTAACAGAAACAACAGAGGGCTGTGCAACCCCGTCAGGCCTTACAGGGTCACACACACATGGAGGGTTACCTCCCCAGACCAGGTCACCCCCATCAGGACGTGGCTGCTAAGGCAATGGAGACACCAACCTAACGTGGGCCCCAGCGGGCAGCACAAGGGCTGGCCCAGGGATTACCAACTCCAGGGAACAGGGAGTTGGACCCTGAGGCCAAACCTAAGCCCCCTGGGGCACTGGATGCAAACCACGGCCAGCACGCTGACAGCCCGACAGCTGTCCCAGGAAGAGCTCACACAAGGAAGCACATGGCCTGATCAGTCAGTACTCAGGTACACACTGCAGCACCACCTCGGTCAAGATCCGAGTGCCCTCTGCACCCAGAGCCTCTCTTCTGACCAGCCCTGCCAACTCCAGCCTTCCCTCAAGGGCATGACCCTGGCTCCTGTCTCAAGGGCGGACGCCTGCCTCCTTCCCAAGTCCTTTGGATGGAGTCAGAGTATGGACTCTGCGTGGCCTGTGTCACGCACATCGTGTCGCAGTTGTCACCTGACATTTATCTGTGACACTGACTGCTGGTCCCTCCTGGCGCCAAGCACAGTGCCCGCTCCCTAAAAGGCTCTTGATCAACACTGTGAGCATGAAGCGGACACAGGGCCTCCACGCAGCGAGCACTGTGCACAAGTACTGGGACGAGGGTTCCCACCAATACAGTCGCCTCAGGACTGCTTGGGGAAGAGCTGTGACAGAACACAGCGAGCTTTGCTTTTTGAGAAAAATCGCAAAGATTTATCATCTTAGTAATCCCACGTGGCAAACATTTAATATTCAAGAAGTGCACTCTGATCTGCTAGAATCCCCTTATGTAACATTTGCTTTCCGCTCCGGGGAGGGCCTGGCCTCACGGGCCTGCAGAGCTGGCTGGTTTCTCTCTTCTAGCCAACCAGACAGAGATGCAGGGACCACAGGAGACAGACACACGGCAGAGACAGTGATTCAGGGACCACAGGAGACAGACACACGGCAGAGACAGAGATGCAGGGACCACAGGAGACAGACACACGGCAGAGACAGAGATGCAGGGACCACAGGAGACAGACACACGGCAGAGACAGAGATGCAGGGACCACAGGAGACAGACACACGGCAGAGACAGAGATGCAGGGACCACAGGAGACAGACACATGGCAGAGACAGTGATGCAGGGACCACAGGAGACAGACACACGGCAGAGACAGTGATTCAGGGACCACAGGAGACAGACACAAGGCAGAGAAAGAGATGCAGGGACCACAGGAGACAGACACACGGCAGAGACAGGGACACAGTGACCACAGGAGACAGACACACGGCAGAGACAGGGACACAGTGATCACAGGAGACAGACACACGGCAGAGACAGTGATTCAGGGACCACAGGAGACAGACACATGGCAGAGACAGGGACACAGTGACCACAGGAGACAGACACATGGCAGAGACAGTGATACAGTGAACCGCTGGAGACAGACACATGGCAACACGACCTGTGTGGGGCACACTGAAACAGCCTCATCACCAGACATCCAACCTCAAGCCTGGCTGCCGCCCTCTGGGACCTGGGATTCCCCATTAAAGAGAAACATCAACATCCTAAATATACAGTCGGGCAGAAAGCCTCAAGCCTTCCTAACCTTCAAACGCAGATGATGTGATTATATCAATGTCCAGTCCAATCAGACCAAATACCCACCCTCTTCCAAATTTTTCTTTTAGTTTAGTTTGTTTTTTTCTTCATTGGTTTTTAGAGAGAGAGTGAGGGAGAGGGAGAGGGAGAGAGAGAGAAACATCGATGAGAGAGAACATCGACTGGCTGCCTCCTGCATGCCCCCCACTAGGGATCAGACCCATAACCTGGCCATGTTCCCTCACCGGAAATCGAACCAGCGACCTCTTGGTGAATGGGTCGACGCTCAACCACTGAGCCACAGTGGCCGGGCTAGTTTAGTTTTTGTAACTATCACACAGTAAAACAAACCGGTCTCGGGGCAGGGAAGGGGAATCAGTTCTAAAAATTTTGCCCTGGCCAGTCTGGCTCAGCAGTTGGGGCATCGGCCAGCAGACCGGAGAGTCCTGGGCTTGGTTCCTGGTGGGGGCACGTGTCTCAGTTGCAGTTTGTTCCCAGCCCTGGTTGGGGTTGTGTGGGTGGCAGCCAATCGATGTGTCTCTCTCTCTCCCCCTCACTCTCGCTCTCTTGCTCTATCTGAAGATAAAAGCAAAAAAAAAATGTTTAATAATAGAAATTTTAACACATGTAGGTTTGTGTGACACCACCATAATCATGATCCAGACCAACTCATCACTCCAAATAGCTCCCTTTGTAGTCACACCCTCCCCCACCCCAGCCTGGCACACTGACCTGGTCCCACCACCAGTCTTGTTTCGAGAATTCTGCGTCCACACTGTGTGACCGCCCGGCAGGCTGTCACAGGCAGCAGGTGCGGCCCTCTGCACCTCTGAGCAGCACCTCAGTGGACAGATGCCCGTCTGTCTCTCGCCACCCACTGCCGAGCATGGTGGCTGTTGGTACGTGTGGGACACCATGAATAGGGCTGGAATAAACCTTCACATACAGGCTTTCGTGCAAACCTACATTTTTGCTTCTCTGGGACGAACACCCACGCACGGTTGGGACTGCTGAGTCACACGGTGACTTTCTGATAACCTGATGACCCTGCCCCAGGCACTGCATCTTCCGTGTCCTCTGGCACTGCACGCGGTCACAGCTGCCCTGCATGGTCACTATGGGTGCCGTGAGTTTTCCTTCAGCCACTTCAGCAGGCCTGTCGTGGCATCTCACTGGCTTTTAACATGCATTTCCCTGGCAGCTAAGGTGCTGAACTTCTCTCCAGTGCACGTGGACATCTGCACATCCCCTTTAGTGGAATGTCTGCACATGTCTTCCGCCCACCTTCTAATGTTTCTGCCGTCACCCAAAGGTCGACCAGGCCAGCAAATAAACACACCTGAAGCCTGAGTCCTGATCAGCACTCTCCACACCTGCTCCTTCTACAGCTTTCCCCATCTCCAGTCAGGTGCCTCTACCTGTCCACGTGCTCCCGTCAAACCTGACAGTCACCCTTGACTTCTCTCTCAGCTCCCACATCCAACCTGTCAGCCTACGCTTCACCACACATCCAGAACTATGTGACCTTGGCTCTCCCTGGGCCAAGCCTCCCACTGGGACCCCGCAGCCTCACCCTTAGCTGCCTCTGTCCTTGCTTCCTTCAGACCACTGTCAGCACAGGAGCCCGTGCAACGCTTTTCCAGCCTAAATCACATCACATCGCCTCTGCTCACAGCCCTCAGATGGCTTCCCACCCTCTCAGGAACACAAGCTTCATTGTGCCCCCACGGGGCCCCACCCTGCCCCCTCTCTTCTGCCCCTCGTCACAGGGCCGCCCTGCTGTCAGGCCACACCAAGTGCTTTCCCAACCTCAGGACTGGCACCTGGTTCCTGCTCCCTGAGAGACCCCCGACCTGTACCTGGCTGTGAACACTGAGGTGTAGTCAGACACCCAGAGCTGCTGGAGGAGTTCAGCACACCAAGAAACAGCAGACGCTAGAGTCATTTGACAGCATTTTGAATACTCCATGTAAAATGCCTCAAGCCCTGGCTGGTTTGGCTCAGTGGTTAGAGCATCAGTCCGCGGACCAGGGAGTCCCAGGTCTGGTTCCTGCTAAGGGCACGTACCTCGGTTGCAGTTTGTCCCCAGCCCCAGTTGGGGTCATGTGGGTGGCAGCCAGTCAATGTGTTTCTCTCACATCAAAGTTTCTCTCTCTTTCCCTCCCACTCTATCTGAAGATAAATGCAAATGTCCTCGGATGAGAATAAAAATAAAAAATAAAAAATAAAATGCCTCTCATTTCATTCATCATATTCTTAACAAAATTTATCAAATTCCTCTTAATTCGTTTTATCAAGAAAAGTTTGCCTGGAACACTACTCAGCAATAAAAGAACACACTGTCGCTACATGTTACAATGTGGATGAACCACTGAGCTGAGTGACAGGAGCCAGACACAGGAAAACAAGCATGGTTCTGTTCACGTGTCCAAAAAAGGCAAGGTCACAGGACAGACGGCAAGGCAGGCTCCTGGCTGGAGGCGGAGACACTGACGACGAGTGCGCCTGAAAAAGAGCTTGTAGAACTGGGTCACCGTGACGCTGCACAGCTCCATACATTTACTACAAATCTTGACTTGTATACTTATTTTAATGTTTTCATTATTTTTTTTAGAGAGAGAGGAAGGAAGAGGGAGAGAGAGAGACATTGATGAGAGAGAGAAGCTTCAACATCGAATGGCCGCCTCCTACATGCCCTCCACTGGGGATCGGGCCCACAACCTGGGCATGTGCCCTGACCAGGAATCGAACCAGCAACCTTGTGGCGCAGGGTCGACACTCAACCACTGAGCCACAATGGTCGGGCTTGAAGTGTTTAGCCCTCAAATAAAACAATGTCACTACAAAGATTTTCAGTGCTCTTAGTCATTTTCGCAAGACCATAAAAATATGGGTGGAGCCCTGGCCGGTTTGGCTCAGCAGTTGGAGTGTCGGCCTGCGGTACAGAGACCTGGGTTCGGTTCCCGCTAAGGGCACGTACCTCGGTTGCAGTTTGTCCCCGGCCCTGGTTGGTCGTGCGGGTGGCAGCCACTCAATGTGTCCCTTCACATCGATGTCTCTCTCTCTCTCTCTTCCTCTCTCTCCCTCCCGCTCTATCTGAACAAAAAATGGAAAAATGTCCTTGGGTGAGGATAAAAAAAAATATATATATATATATATATATATATATATATATATATGTATATGGGTGGAAAGTAAGTTGAACTGCAACAGTGAGAAGGAAAAAGCAAGAAAATGCCCTTCTAAAGGACTCCTCTGGGCCCGTAATGCAGCAAGCTGTGAACGTGTTCCGTCTAGCCCGCCCTCACCCCGGTGCTTACGGCTGATCCAGAGCTCACCCAGTACGTCTTTCTAGCAAGACGGTGTTTCTACAGCAGTCCTCCCTCAACCCCACAGCTGGCAATCAATTTCCATCCGCACCGCAAGGGGGCAGCCTGGCCCTCACCCTGCTTACCGGGTATGGTGTGCACCTCATCCAGGATCATGAGGCCCCACTCCTGAGTTTTGAGCCACTCCATCACACGTTCAGCCTCCCACGACCTTTTGGTGGTGTGGCCCAGCATAGAGTAGGTGCTGATGGCCACGGAGCAACCTATGGGCTTGTCCTTGGCATCAGAGGTGAAGCGGCAGATCTGGCTGTCATCGATGGTGGACCACATCTTGAACTGCGCTTTCCACTGCTCCACAGACACGGCCGAGTTGCCCAGCACCAGACAGCGCTTTCTGACCGTGCACGCAGCTGTCACGCCAACCAGGGACTTCCCAGCACCTACGAGAAACCAGAGTAATGCTACCCAAGGCCAGGCTGAAATGGAAGGACGAGACAAGCAGACTCAGAATCACACAGCTCTTCACAGCTGACCTCGTGCGGCATTCTCTGCTCTGGAGCCTGTCTTCCCTCTAGAAGGAGACACGCCCACGCCAGGCACCGACGTAAAAAGTAAGATAAGCGCCAGCCCTCTTGCTGCATGTAACGTGCATCTTGCTTAAATGCTGAAATCTCCAAAAAAAACAGAGACGAGACACTGTTGCCACTTCACACACGTGGAAACAAAGCCCTGGGAAGCAGTGGCTCAGGGGGTGTGCCCAGCAGACTCGCTAAGGGCACAGTGAAAGCCGCTGCTGCAGTCACACGACCTGGGCGGCAAGTCGGGAATGCGGTGAGTGGGACACAGCAAGGACAGAGAAGGTGGAATCCAGAAGCTTCCACAGCACGACCATCCACCATTTGAAGATCAATATAAAAACAAGCTGCTCCTTCACACAGCAGTTCCCCTTTACCACAAATGTGTCAGGATAACACGCTGAGCTTTACGAAAAGCACCATCACCTGAGGCCCCGCTTTTTTCCCTGGAACTCCCGTCTCATCCGTAGGGACAGGGCCGTGGGGTCTGCTGTGACTGCCAGCCTTGAAGGCAGGCCCGCAGCTGGCATGGCTCAGGACGGAAGATACCAGACGGAGTCCGTGGACGTGCAGTGACAAGCTGTCTGGAACAGCCCGGTTTCTGTGCTGGGGAGCCTGCGCACAGACCTCACAGACTGCGAAGAACAAGAGCCCGCCCCCAGCATGTAGGGTAACATGCTCCCATCCCTGCCTTGGCCCTCACAAAGCTGCTTTTCTTCACAGCCCCAGACTTCACACACTGCTCTGGCAATCGGCCTGTCACCTGCCTCCGCCCTAGCAGGCCAAGCCTGAGACCAGGAGCGCTGCTCTCTGCACCAGGGACGCCGTGTGAAGGCCAGCGCCCCAGCAAGCAGCGCGCACTCCTCAGGTCTTGAATCGGGGAGTCACGTGACCATGGCTGCACCGGACCAGAGGAACTCAGAGAAAGGTACGAACACCTTCCTCCGGCGCCACTCACCACAAGGAAGCACTATGACCCCAGAGCGCGCGCGCCCGTTCCCGAACATCTTCCGCAGGCTCTTCTCCTGGTAAGGCCTGAGGACGGCGGTGGGCTTCAGGTCGATGTTGATATTGGGATTCACGGAATCGTTCCGGAAGTCATACTCTGCCAACAGAGGGTACTCCAGGTGGATGCAACGTTTCTGAAGCTCCTCGATCATCTCCTGGGAGTGAGCACAAAGGGTTTCACAGCCCTCTCAACTCCAAAGAACACTTGTGAACATGTTCTCAGGGGCCTTGTGGTCAAGAGAACAGCAGTTTACCTAGATTTTTGCAACTTCGGATCTTGCTTGACAACAGGCGGGCTAAAACATGGAAAAGCAACCCACACTCAAGACACAACCAAAAAGAAATCCAACCAGCCACCAAAAATGCGCCTCTGGCACCATTTCTCACACCTGCCAAGGAATTTGTAGGGGCTGGCCCAGCAGCCTGAGGAATGGTACGTGCAGACCTCACTCCACTGGGAAGAAAGGGGCTACAGCCCAGACACGGGGAGGGGGACATTCCTTCCTCCTAGGCTACAGACGAGTCTGCAGGGCTGGACCAACTTCCAGCCGAACTTATAGAAGAAACCAACCTGCTTGACTTCAAAAGATACAGTCTGTGTCTCTTCTTCTTCCTCCTCATCCTTGTCCATCTGCTCATAGAAGTCAATCAGGTCTGTGGGGATGTCAGCTTTGCCCTGCGGATCTGTCCCCCGAGAAGTGGAGGGCCCGCCACTGCCTTCAGCAGTCTTTGCGATCTGTTAGAAAGACGGATCTACATTCACATGCAGTGTTCCAACCTGCTGTCACCGAGCAAGACCTCAAGTGACCAGAACACTGCGCAGCCACCAGGTTGCAAACACTGACCTCGTAGCACCTGAGAGGACTGCAACGCTAAACGCCCCACCCCAGGCACCCAGAGCTCACGCACAGCAGATTTGCTGGTGAAGGTCTCCGTGAGGAGCTCCATCGCCTCCCCCTCAGAGCTCCGCAGGCGGCACTCCCGAATCACTGGATCCTGGAGAAGATGCTGAATCACATCAGGGTGGGAGCTCTCAACGAAGTACCTACAAGAGGATGGATGTGCCTTGCTGACCAGCACACCATTTTCAGAAGGTTCTACTGCTCAATTACATGGCCCAGAAACAGTGGCCTCGTGCCTCTCTCTACCTTCTCACTTTCCCGTGACCCTTGGCTTATAACTCTGAGCTATGAGCTACTGGCCACAATATAACATGACGGTTGTGGGCAAAGCCATACTTTGAAGATAACTAAGCTGGGAACTGAGCCCACCTCCACTGCCAGGGGAAGGTGGTGGCAGTGACCGTCCCTTACCTGTTGTGCTTCAGGACCAGCTTGACTTTCCCATAACTGACAGTACACAGCTGCAAAGAGCAACAAATCAAACAGGAAATGAGCACCACGCAGCCACCGGGAACACATTCGTCACTGGGCACATCCTACCACCCACCAGCCAAGTGAAGTTTGTTGGTACAAGAAAACTCAATGCACGATCCTAACGGGGTCAGAGCTGCCTAACTGAGCTTCTCCTATCAGCCTATTCTTTTCGAGAGCAAACCTTCCTCTTGCCTGGCTAATTCCGATGCACAGCCCTCAGTTAATAAAACAAGGCGTAAAAAAAAAAAAAACACATGGCATAAAATCTTTAGTTTCCCTTTCTTCTGCACTCGCACAGGCCCTGACCTGGTCCCCAGGTCCCTCCCGCCACATCATCACTGCAGCGCCCAGCACAAAGCTGGCCAGTGAGTGTGCTCAGTAAGTGCATGCTGTGTAAGTTGGTGCCAAGCCTCCCAGCCTCCTCACAATGTCCACATTTCTCCAACCAGCTCACGAGCTTCTTCACGCAGAGAAGACAACGCACACCCTCCCAGGCTGCCCCGTCTTCAGGTGGACTGTAGCAGAGGCTGTGTGGTGTCCATGAAAAGCCACCCCTCAGACCCAAGGCTGCTGCCTGTCTCACTGCTGCCCTTCTCCTCACCACTGCGCTGTGCCAACACCCGCATTCCTCCAGGCAGCGCCCAGCCTCGCCTAGTGCAGCAGGGTGCTGATGTGGGTCCTTCCAGCAAGGTGCAGGCCCTTCTCCCTGGGCAGCCTTCCACATCACAAAAGCAGAGAACTCGCTCCAGGGCCCTGCCAGCTTCTCAGAACCAGATGCACCACTGTACTGGAGGCCTGTGGCCCATCTTCTGCCACTCAGACTCAGGGGTCTGAATCCAGCTCCCGTCAGATCGGCAGAGGGCAACCAAACCCACTATCTATCTCTTCTGAAAGGCATCCACATCTCTCAGAATAAACCCAAGCATGTCCAACTGCTCTTCACAAGGAACCCAACCACTTTGCAGTCCTTTTTGACTTTTCCTAATGAAAACTGCTATTGTCTGATGCAGAGATTCACCCTCAGGTGGAGTTTATCATCTGTATTAGTCCACTTGGGCTGTTAAGCAGAACAACACGGACTGGGTGGTTCAACAACAGAAACTGATTTCTAGAAGTCCATAGTGAAGGTGCCAGTGACTCCGTTCCAGTGCAGATTCCCCGGCTCTCAAGGGCTGCCTTCTCAAGGGCTGCCTTCTCGCTGTGTGCTCACGTGACCTCTTCCCTGCGCACAGGCAGAGAAAGAGCACACTAGCCTGTGGACGGCACTTCCTACGAGAACCCTAACCCTTGGATCAGGGGCCCACTCTTACAACCGCATTTAACTTACTTTCTTACTCCAAATACAGCACATTAGTGGATAGGGCTCCAAGATACTAATTTTGAAGGGTACACAATTCAGTCGATAACACCATTAACTTTGGGCTGCATTCTTCAACAACACTGGCCAGAGTGGGCTTGAATTACTGTCCCCACTGTGTGAGTACCCACTGGCTGAGAGCAGCCACCGGGAGTGTGGCCTCAGCAAGAACTCAATGCTGGGTCCACAGGAGCAGCAGCTGGAGTAAACAGTTACTATGCTCCTCCCACTAGATCTAAATGGCATTTTTTCTTTTTTTTAAATTCTCACCCAAGGATATGTTTTTATTAATTTGAGAGAGAGAGAGAAACATCGATGTGAGATAGAAACATTGATTAGTTACCTCCCCGACCAGAGATCAAACCCACAACCTAGGTATGTGCCCTGACCAGGAATCAAACCTGCAGCCTTTGGGTGCACAGGGCAATGCTCCAACCAACTAAGCCACCCAGCCAGGGCTGAATAGCATTTTCTTGACTACTACTATGTTAACAACTTTGCCCCCACGTGCCTTGATAAACTGAAGGATTCCATCAGGGACTCCTGTCTTGCTGAGCTTGCTGAGGTATTCGGTGATGTCACTGGTTTGCAGCCCAACACTGACAGCTGCATACAGGGAGTAGGCAGTCAGTTTGTATTCGTGCACATGGGTTGGTCGGCACACTGGCTCTGCAATAGCCACCAGGAAGTCTTGCGCATATTTGTAAACTGGAGAGAAGGCTTCTAAGAAAATGTGTCCATCAGGAGCCTGAGAAACACCAAACGGACACAGACAAGGAAACTCATGAGTTGCAAAGACTATTAGACTCTTTTCCATGGCATTCCCTATAAAAGATATGCTGCCCAAAAAGTCATCTTTAACCTATCCAACACCAGGGACGTTTTGGTAAGAACCCCTTCAGCCAACTGTGGGGCCTGTTCCTTTGATGAGATACTAGGAGTTTGCAACATCAGTAGCTGCGTCCCACTCTTCTTCGCAGGGAGACTCACCTTACTATAGCTATCCTCAAGTTACCTTTTGGCTAGATTTCAAATGAACGTACAATATTCATTACTTCAAGTCAAACAAAAATACTGCCTAGCAAACATGTCTTCCATTGATTTTTTTTCAAGTGGGGAATTACAATGCTACCTAGTAAATGCCATTTATTCAGTAGATAAAAGTATGCGCAAATCTGGTCTAGCCAGAGAGAAAAGAGTAAGAAGAGGGATCAGAACTGAAGCTGAGCCCGCCACACAGGTGTGCACACCTGCGCAGCTTTCTCTGCGGCAGCTCGCAGCGCCTCCACACTCCCCTGTGCTCTGACAGGTGTGCACGCCTGTGCAACCTTATGTGCGGCAGCTCGCAGCGCCTGCGTGATGCTCAGCCCCCGTTCTGCCAGGTGTGCACACCTGCGCAGCCTTATCCGGGGCAGCTCGCAGCGCGCAGCGCCTACTTGAAGCTCGCCCCGCGCTCCGCCAGGTGTGCACCCCAGGGTCCGCGCTGGCGCCACAGGCTCCCGCCAGGCCGGACTGTGCTCACCACCCAGAGCGGCCGGGAGACGTGATCTCCCTTCAGCGGCATCTGCAGCCTGTAGTCCTTGGCTCCATACTCGTCCAGCTTGGTGCTGGACTCGTCCACCTGCTTCCCGGCGGCCGAAGGCACCGCCTCCGGAGGCTCGTTGCCAGGGGCGTCGTCCTCCTCCTCTTCCTCATCCTCGTGGTGCCGCTTCTTGGACTTCTTCCTGTCTGCGGGGAGAGCACGGGCGTGAGCGGCGCGGCCCAGGCTCACCGCCTGCCCCGCGGCCCCTCGGGAGCCCACGCTCACCGCGGTCCGCCCGGTCCCTCTTGCCCATGACGCGGCCGTGCTGCCTCCTGCTTGGCGGCGCTCCCCGGAAACTTCCGGTTCACGCCGGAAACTCTCGGCGACCTCACCGGAAGTCCCGCCTCCGGGATCCCGTCGCCCGCCGTCCTTTCCGGCCTCTGAGGAACTGCACGAGCGCCTTGCCCGGTCGTCGGGCGCCGCTCCGCTCCCCCTGTCGGACGGGAACAGGGCGGACCAGGCCTCCCCAGCTCGTCCCAGCGGACGATGGCCGTGAACACGCTGGTGTCAAGTGCCAAGGCCAAGTGACCGGGCCCCGCGGGGCGGCCAGGGCGCCCGGAATCTCCCCCACGTGGTGCTGTTGGAGCCAAAGAGCGAAGGAAGAGAGCGGAGGGGGAGGGGGAGGGGGGGAGGGGGAGGGGGAGGGGGGCCCGGCTGCGGCGGCACCCACGGGCGGCACCCGCGTCAACGGGGTCCCTGGGGCCGGTTCGGTGCCGGCGCCCTGAACCGGGAAACATGCCCGGTGCGATCCCGCAGGCCATGCGATGCCGCCGGCAGCGCCAGGCTGTCCAGCTGCTGGCTCCGCTTGCTTTCCGGGCGCTAGGCCCAGAGGCCAGTCTGGTGCTCCTGCTCCCAAAACCCAGTCTCCAGCCTTCTGTGCAAAGGGAGTGTGTGCCCCCTGAGCCAGAGGATAGCTGCCGTACAAACAGGTTTTCATCCCTGGGCCCTATGAGGCCGTCCTCAGTGAGAACTCCAAAGCCTAGTTTCAGTCCAGAAGCACTGTTCTGGCTGGACCAAAGGCTCGGTCCTTCTGGTTGAAATAGGATTCCAGGAACTCTTTTTTTTTTTTTTTTTAATCCTCACCCGAGGACATTTTTTCATTTTTTGTTCAGATAGAGTGGGAGGGGGAGAGAGGAAGAGAGAGAAACATCGACGTGAAAGGGACACATCCAGTGGCTGCCACCCGCCCGACCCAACCAGGGCAGGACAAACTGCAAAGTGCCCTCAGTGGTCTCCCTGGACCGCAGGCCATGCTCTAACCGCTGAGCCAAACCGGACAGGGCTCCAGCAACTCCTCTATAAGCGCTAGCGCGGGAGGCACTGAGTTCAGGGCAGGCTCTCAAAGTGCGTTTGCATGAGCGATTCCTTCTAGGCTCTGGGGTTTTTTTTTGTTTTGGTTTCAGTTTTGGTTTTTAATGTGAGCCCAGTTAACCACTAGGAGACCTTTTAGTAGGTGACTTCTTTCTCAGGGTCTATAACAGGTTTGGCAGTTAAGTGTAGCAAGCAAAATGGGGATCTATAATAAATCGACAAGCCCAGTTAGGAAAAGTAACCTCACAGGCTGCTCTGATTACAAAGTCCTATTGGGGCCCAGTGGTTGGGCTCAACCAAGGCACCAAGAGGGCACCTGTTTGATTCCCACTCAGGGCACATACCCAAGTTGTGGGCCAAATCCCCAGTGGAGGGCATGCAGGAGGCAGAGGATAGATGTTTCTCTCTCACATAAATGTTTCTCTCTCCCCCTTTCTCACTAAAAAAAAAATTAATAAAAAAACGTTTTTGTTTTCTTTTAAATAAAGCAGTTGGATGTAAGTATGAAGTTTTGGGCCTTAGAAATATGATTTGGGGAACTGTCAATATAGCTGTGTTAGTGAAGCTATAGAACGAATTGAGGTTGCCTAGGGAATTAATGTAGGTAGAGGACAGGTCTGAGAACACATTAGTGAAGAGCCTGGAAGGTGCGGGAGAATTGGGCAGCCCCAATTTCGGCATAGTCAGAGAGGAAAATCAGGAGTCCTGGAAGTGCTGCCTTCAGTTCCTTTTATTTCAAGGTGGAGTGACTATTTAATGTGTTAGATGCTGCTGGTCAGCTGAGCAAATAGACTGAGACTCAGCCACAGGACTTACCATGCAGAGATCAGTTTCCAGGGAAATGGCCTTCAGTGAATTGGTGTGCTGGTCCCTGCTCTGCATACGTTTCACTTACTCGAGAAACGGAGGAGCCAACCCTTTAAAACTGGCTTTTGCATTTTAATATTTTCTCCAATTCATGTCATGCAAAAGTCTTGGAAAACAAAGAAAAGAATAGCGCAGGCTATTTAAATCATATGTAACACCTCTAGCTATCTGCATTTTGGCTTATTTTCTTCCAGACTTTTTTTTCTGTAGATGTTTTTACACCATGAAGGTATTACTTGGATATATATAACTTTGTCACCCTAACATAAGCTTTGTTCACCCCTCATTAAAATGAATGCCTAATGACCAATTTTCTATTGTATGGCAAGATTGTAATGTATTTACCCAAGCCCTGATTTAAGGGCATTGGGATTGTAGATCCATGATGAATATCATGGGATGTAAACCTTTAAATGCATCTTGGGTTGTATTCCTTTTTCATTTTTTAATGTTTTTATTGATTTTTTTAGAGCAAGAGGGAGGGAGAGAGAGATAGAAACATCAAAATGAGAAACATCAATTGGCTGCCTCCTATGTGCCCCCTACTGGGGATTAAGCCTGCAACCTGGACATATGCCCTGACTGAGAATTGAACTGGACCTCTCAGTCCATGAGGCGACGCTAAAGCCACTGAACCACACTGGCCAGGCATTGGGTTGTTTTCTTAAAAGCAAATTCTGAGAAATAGAAATGTTTTGTTAAATGTATGTCCTTTTTTATTTATTTATTTTAAAAAGAAGGCTCCTTTTTTTTCTTTATTGTTTAGAGAGCGAGTAAGGGAGAGAGAGAGAGAGATGGAAACATAAATGAGAGAGACCACTGATTGGCTGCCTCCTGCATGCCCTCACTGGGGATTTGGCCCAAAATCTGAGCATGTGCCCTGACCAAGAATCGAACTGGTGACCTCTTGGCGCATGGATTTATGCTCAACCACTGAGCCACACCAGCCAGGCAAACATGTCCTTTTATTTATTTATTTTTTTTTAATCTTCAGATAGGGAGAAAGAGAGAAATATTGACATGAAAGACACATCGAGTGGTTGCCACCCACACAACCTCAACCAGAGCCAGGGACAAACTGCAACCACAGTACATACCTTTAGTGGGAACCGAACCTGGGACTCTCTGGTCCACGGGCCAACACTCTAACCACTGAGCCGAACTGGCCAGGGCAAACATATGTCCTTTTTTAAAAAAATTTTTTTAATCTTCACCCAAGGATATGTTTTTATTGATTTTTAGAGAGAGAGGAAGGTGGGGAGAAACCGATTCATTGCCTCCCGTACGCACCCCAACCCAGGATCTGGCTTGCAACTTCGGCATGTACCCTAACCAAGAATTGAACCCACAACCTTTTGGTGTATGGGACAACACTCCTACCAACTGAGACACCCTGCCAGGGCCAAACACAGGTCCTTTTGGAAGCTCTCAAGAGGGATATCTATGTTGTGGAGGTCTCCACTGAAGAGCAAGGGGTCCCAGTCCCAAACCAGGCCTCCCAGCTCAGGGTTCCAATGCCTTTATCACAGGAATGGCTGGCCTTGGCTCCTGCTTCAGATTTCCCTAAATTCTCTCAAGTAGCATCTAGCCTCAGCAAACTCCACACCTCTTGCTAAGTGGCCCCAGGCCCAGCACTAGCAGCAGCCAGCCTTGGTTTACAACTTGGCCTAGTCTGGGCACTGCCAACCCAGCATAAGAAGCAGCCATCTCAGATTGCTTTGTAGCTTATGGCCTGGTGGCTCCAGGTAGAACACAGGTAGTGGCTGACCTTGGCCTGCACCTTCCAGGAGGTCCCAGAGCCAGCACACCTAGTGGACAGCTTCAGACCACGTTGAAGCACCACCACCCAACCACCTCCACAAGTGACACACTCAAATGGTGGACTCAGTGGGTACCAGAGCCCTGCTGAAGTAAGTCTTGCTCTGTGTGATGAGCCCCTATACAGTTGATCCTCCAAGGTGGTCAGAAGTCAGTGGTAGTGACCACAGCCAGTCCTTGCAGCTGATCAGCCTGAGTAAATCCCTCCCACTGATGTACCAACAGCAGTCAAGACTCAATTACAACAGAAGGATGTACAGTCCATTCAAGGGGTGCACCTTGAGGGCCCAGCTGGAGTGATCAGGAAGGCCACTGTGCCACTGGACCCACAGGACACCTACTATAATAGGCCACCCTAGGAAGCCTAGGAGACATAGCAACTCTATCTAATACATAAAAACAAACACAGGGAAGCAGCCAAAATGAGGAGACAAAGAAACATGCCCCAAATGAAAGAACTGAACAAAACTCCAGAAAAAGAACTAAAAATGGAGACAAGTAATCTACTAGATACAGAATTCAAAATACTGGTTTTAAGGATGCTCAAGGAACTTAGTGAGGACCTCAAGAGCATAAAAAAGAACAAGTCAGAAATGAAGGATGCACTAACTGAAATAAAGAATAATTTACAAGGCCCTGGCCAGTTTGGCTCAGCAGTTAGAGCGTCGACCTGCGGTCCCGAGAGGCCCGGGTTTGGTTCCTGCTAAGGGCGCTTGCCTCGGTTGCAGTTTGTCCCCGGCCCTGGTTGGTCGTGCGGGTGGCAGCCACTCGATGTGTCCCTTTCACATCGATGTTTCTCTCTCTCTCTCTGTTCCTGTCTCTCCCTCCCACTCCACCAGAACAAAAAGAAAAATGTCCTCGGGTGAGGAAAAAAAAAAAAGAATACTTTACAGGGAATCAACAGTAAGGTAGGTGAAGCCAAGAAGCAGACCATCAATTTGGAATATAAGAGAGCGAAAAACACCCAATCAGAAAAAAAAAAAGGATAGTGTAAGTAGTCTCTGGGACAACTTCAAGTGTACCAATGTTTGCATCATGGGGGTGCCAGAGGGAGAAGAGAGAGCAAGAAATAGAAAACCTATTTGAAAAAATAGTAACAGAAAACTTCCCTAACTTGGAGAAGGAAACATACAAATCCAGGAAGCAAAGAGAGTGCCAAATAAGATAAACCCAAGGAGGCCCACACCAAGACACATTATCATCAAAATGCCAAAGGTTAAAGACAACGAGAGAATCTTAAAAGCAGCGAGAGAAAAGCAGTTAGTTACCTACAAGGGAGCTCCCA